CTTATCAAGGGATTTTAAATAGGGAAAAAAAGGGCTGAAAAATTTTGGCTGACTTAGGCCAAAACCGACTTATCGAGGGACCGACTTATCGAGTCTACCTGTGTAAAACTAAAATCACATGAGGTCCTATTTTTTAAAAATTTCTCATTTTGGTCACGTGGCGCAGCAATAGGAGAACTTTAGACCGAGCCAATCATACTTTTAATTTCTTCTGAAGAATAAGAATTTTTTTCTTCATTTTGATTAATTTCGTTTGTGATAAATATTCCAATACAATTTTCTCCTTGTCCGAATAAAGTACCTTTAAAATCTCGAATTTCTTCAGGAGGAATTTTATCAATATTTTTTATATTTAAATTGAACTATAAAATTAAATGTTTGTATATTTCCAATTATATCAATTCCACCGTCACCAGTGATTATAATTTCATCTCAAATTTATAAAATGTTTTTATTCCATAAGCATTAATATGATTATTTTTTAATATTTTTAATTCAAATTTATCTCCTTTTTCTTTATTAGTTGAAGGTTTTTCAAACTAAAATAAAAAATAATAATAAGTATTGTTTCATAATATCAACCTACTAGTTAACAATGGAATTACACGTATAAAATACATAACCACCGCACTTTGTGGGACATATGAATCTACACCAACACATCACTATTTGAAAAACCACGAATGTTAGCAGCGTAACTTACATTCATATAGATATTCAACAAAACCTAGCAATATTAAAAATACTTGCCTTTTGATCCATTTCCATATCAAAGTCAAATTTAATTCTTTTAATTAAATTTTCAGATGAAAATCCCCAATCAACAAATCAATTCCAAATTTGGAAAAAATCCTGAAATTTGTATATGTGACGCAGTCGAATTTGGACACTTGATAAGATTATTCATCTGATAGAATAATTGAATCTTTAGAATTGTCAATATTACCGGTGTCTATGGCGAGTTCAGCCAAAATTGACTATTGTTCAATTTATCAAATGTGAATCTATTTACATATTTTCCGACATTTATATCTATCATATGAAAGTCAATAATCTTTTTTATATTTTAGATCAAATAATAATGAGAGAAAGGAGTATACAGGAATGTTGATTTTTTTTTCAAATTGAGATAACGCTGGAAATTTCGTGGCCAAATTTCACGACATCTAAATAATTATTGAGATTGCAATTCTTTGCTAAAGTCTTTAAACAAGATGAAGGTGCAGCTTGAGGTAGAAATGATTCTATTAACCTTTGTTCTAACAAATTTTTAATGGAAGACCAACCATTAATTAATTAAGAATATCGGCTTATGCTTCATCTAATGTAAATTGCTGATTTACGTACAATCAAAGCTAACATATATCCTACAAACTTAATAATAATAATATAATTAATTATAGATTATACTTCTATGACATTTTTCTTCCGCCAATCTTCAATATCAGCAATTAATTGTCAAAACAGATTTATATCCCTAACAGTGTTTGTCTTGCTAAAGTTGGAAGCAATACTAATATTATTTCAACAGCATTGTAATTGAGGAATGAAAATAAGTGTAATTCTGGGTTAAGTGAATCCGAGTTATTTTTGTCCCGGAGAGCAACTTTCTTAGTACGCAAGGCTTGTTTGTCTCTGTGGTTTTGAAGGCTAAAGTTTTACGAAGCTACTATATATATATTACAAGGTAATAAACAGATTTGAGTTTCCAAATAATGTGATACCTTATACTTTAACAATTAATATAGGACTGACTGTGTAAGTTCCAATAGCCTGTATTTACTGCTAGTTGTTCTTGACAAGTTGACATGGGAAAATGAATTAAACTCTCTGAAAATAAACTTTGCGGGAAAAAAAAATATTACAAGATCTTATAATTAAATAATAGTGACGTAAAATTAATTGAACAAAGAAATGTAAAATTTTTGTGTAAAGTGATATTCATTTAATGCGCGATACCATATGATCTTAAAATTTGGGTAATATGAATTGCCATAAACGCTATCGATCTATACATATATAATCATATATATATAATAAATAAAAAAAAGATTTCTTTTTCATTCTTCATTTTAACATTTTTTGTAAAAATTTAAAGATGTCTGATAATAGAAAGAAGAATTATTAAAGAAACGTCAAAAACTTGAAGAATTACGTAGAGCACGAGAAGAAAGAATTAAAAGCACACCTGCTGTAGAAAAACCAGTAATTAATTAATTAATGAATAACTAACTATTTGTTGTTTCACCCCACGTTTTTCCCTTTCTAATTATTTTGTTTCGTTGGAAAAAGAGTAAAAAAGAGGATTTTAATCAATTTCTTGATGATATACTCTCAGTAAAGTCTAAACCAACAACTGAACCAACTAAAGATATTACACCAAATATAACTGCGCCATATATTAATCCACCTGTTGTACAAAGGTTTACATTTAAATTGGCAATCTTCAAGTATTTAATACGCGTAAAAAAAAATTAATTATCATTTATAATATATCATAGTCCTTCGTTGGTTAATCCTCGATATATTCCAGGCTTTAATACCACTGAAACAGTCCTTTTGGATGTGCCTCCAAGGGTATTCTTTTAATTGTTTAATAACTGATTTTTTTAAAAATTGAAAATTTAAAAAATTTTTCTCTAATGAAATTAACATTATAGGAACTTGTTCTTTATAATAAAGAAGTGCAAACTGCATCAACCTCATTTGTACCTATTAAAAATTAACAAGTTTGGTGTATTAGGAGGGAGAGGCGCTTCTATAGCGTCTTTTGTTGCAAATCTAATAATATTAGATTTCACCTTTTCAGGTGTTGCTAATGATGTTAAGGTGAAGTAATCAGAGTCACGTTCTGGCTCGATTGAAAGATAATAAGCAACCAGACCAGCGACGTGTGGAGATGCCATTGATGTACCAGAAATGGTATTTGTGGCTGTACTTGAGCCGATCCATGTTGATGTAATGTCTTGACCCTATTTATACACATACATTCATACATATGATTATGGTGTTACTATTAATTAACGAAAAAAATTTTTTTAATAAAAAAACAAAATACTTACTGGGGCAAACACATCTACGCATTGTCCATGATTTGAAAACCAGGCACGTTCATCTCCAACAGTTGTAGCACCAACTGTGATTGCCTTTTGTGAAGCGGCTGGAGAATAATTACAAGCATCTTTATTGTCGTTACCAGCTGCTACCGCAAAAATAAGCCCATTATCTACAGCCTATTTATTACAAAGTAAATATGATTAGTATGACACAATGAATGCGTAAATAAATAAATAAATATATATTATTATTTTTTTAAAGAAATACATACTGCGTCAACGGCAAGATCCAATGATTGACTTTTACCACCTCCCAAACTCATATTTGCAGCACCACCTCTGAAACGTCTACGCTCTCTGCGAGCTTTAGTAACCTCTTCTAAATATAATTCTGTGGCGAATTCTATCCCTTTTATCACATCTGACATTGAGCCAGATCCATTTGATCGCAAAACTTTGATTGCTACAACTTTGGCTTTCTTTGAAACACCGTATCTTTTTCCGGCAATTGTTCCAGCAACATGAGTTCCTTTATTTAAAATAATAATAACAATATTATAATTAATATATATAATTTACATTATGTCGTATTACTTATCATACAAATAAATTACATACCATGTCCATGTCC